TAAGAATATCATTGTCAACCATGGGACTCTTGGGCATAGGTCTCTCTATGTCCAGTACATGGTCTACTAATCTAAATCTTCCTTAATTCCAAATTGTTTGTGAAGATATCATTTCACAAATAGTCACTTCCATAAAAGAAGACAAAGGCTCTTACAAAACAGCAACTAGTGCTGTGGGCATGACTTGAGGACTTAAAAGGACTTGTTGGGTGATAGATAGATAGATAGATAGATAGATAGATAGATAGATAGATAGATAGATGTATGTATGCATGTATGTGTGTATAGATAGATAGATAGATAGATAGATAGATAGATAGATAGATGGATAGACAGACAGACAGATAATAGATAGGTTGGTGTATGTATGTATGGGTAGATAGACAGATGATAGACAGGTAGGTAGGTAGGTAGACAGACAGACAGATAGATGATACAGGTATTTCTTCCCTTAGGCTCTTTCCTTCTTTTTTATGCTTCAACTCCATTCTTAAATCTTTTCAATGTCAGGGATGCAAGTCAGAAGCCTTAGAATTAAGAGAGGTTGTTCAAAAGTTCTCATTCTGCTGTGGTTCTTCAGAAGCTAACAATTCATTCCCCCCATTAGTACTTTGGCCATAGTTTAGACCCCCCTAAATGCTCCAAGAATTTGTTTTTAATGGGTGGGCCGTCAGACTCCAGCTTTGTCTTCATTCCATGGTAGATTATGGTTTCCTCATGATTTGCCTATATCATGCTCCACTTCAACAGTCCTAAGGCTCTTTGTTGTAGACAGGGACGTTTCTAGGCTTTTTGTGTGCCTCTCATGGTCTTCTGCTATGAGTCTAGCACTCAGCCTCACCCCAGAGGCTTCAGTCATACCCAAGATTCCCAAGGGAGTTAAAATACTTTCTTCTTGTAGCCTACTGGCCCTCCACTATGGCTAAGTCCCCATCAATCTTCCCCTGCCCTAGAATTATATAGAATCAAGAACAAAATAATTAATATTTTTAGATTTAGATTTTAGATTTAGAATGTTTATATTTTGCAGTGGGTTCTGAGGACACTTTGGCTCTGCCTCTAATGACACACAGCTGTTTGTGCTTGGAACAACAGGTCTTTGATTTAGCCTCTATCCTGTCTTTCTGCCTAATTAATTGTGTTTCTTACTTGTTGTTTAGTTCTGAGTTTCCCATGGAATTCTCTCATACTCTGTTGCAAGGAAGAGTGTGATACAACTGTCATCACTTGTTAGGGAAGCAGTCACTCCAATAAATGCCATTTGTGCATTTAAAAATATGTTAGCTCTTCTTCTAAGTATAGTTTGTGTCTCTGTATGCTCCTTATGTACATATAGTTGATTATAACAACATTAAAACTCTCTAATCCCATTGGCTCTGAACTTGTCAATGACATACTACTATTTAATTATCTTTTACTGGAGAAAATATGCACCACATACTTTGTTTTGCATAAACATTTTGCACAACAAATTCTTTTTATAGATTGTGACAATCCTTTAATGAGGTTTGGGTATCACAGCATTATTTTTGTGTCCTGTGTCATTCAAGATATGGACAATAAACTTGCAGTCACAAGCTACCGCTAGAAGAAAGATGTCTGCTGATTCACAAAACACATATACTTTGTAGGGTTTACATAGAGGATAAGATGAGTTGCATTAACTAGACAGGCTTACTCCTGACTCACAAGGTATAATAACAGTCAGGTGGATGTTGGCTGAGTAGGATGGGCATGGAATATGATCACTGAATGGAATAATTGTGCTGCTTAAAAAGAAATGTGATCAGGATTTACAACTTATCTAAAACCTCATACTTGACTGTCATTTTCCAACTTTCATAGAACAAGAGATCCTTCAACGTGGCTTATAATATTGATTCTCTTATTATTCTTTTCAGTAACAGACAGAATGGGGAAATGATGAGTACCACATTGCAAAATCAAAGATGTCTAAAAGATGAAGATGGAGAGATTTTGGGAGATGGCTCAGTGAATACCTTAGAACCTGTGCTTGGATACCAGTACCCTTGTAAAAAAAAAATAGGGCACATTATCATAACCTATAATCTCATCATTGGGAAGGGGGAGGCGTCAGGATTCTTGGGGCTTGATCATCTTCTAGTCATGCCAAAATGGCGAGCTATAAGTTCAGTGAGAGACTCTGCCTCAGAAAGTAAGTTGGAGAGTAATAGAGGAACATCTGCCCTTCACATGTATATGCACAACTGAGCATAGCCCATCACACACACACACACACACACACACACACACACACACACACAAAGAGAGAGAGAGAGAGAGAGAGAGAGAGAGAGAGAGAGAGAGAGAGAGAGAGAGAGAGGGAGGGAGAGAGAGAGAGAGGGTAGAAAGGTGGAGAGTAGCCAGGGCCCCAGTCTGATAGAAATGAGTGGGAGAACTTGCCTGGAATACTATTTACCTCATCTTTGCCCTATTATCTTGGTGGGTTTTATAGACTGTCATAGGCTAGCAATTATCTGACAACACAACTTTAAGCAATAGTCCCAGCAGGCTTTTGAAAGGATGGAGCTGTACAATGCTTCTATAAAGAGTCTGTGTTGTCAGGTAGATCATGTAAATCATCATTGCCTAGGTATTTCCAAGCCTTTCTCAATTATCTGGACCTGTGCAGGTGGATATTCACCAGCAATACACAATTCTAGGGAAGACACCATGTCAATGTTAAGTCAACAGCTTAATGTCGTTCCCTTTGTGACAAGTTATCCTTCAGAACAAGACACAATTTAATACCCAAAGCTCTCAAGATAGCCCAATACACTACTTGTAAGTGAATTTCTATTAGGATTCTTTGAATAAATTTCTTGTTGTGGCTCATGAATGACGATTTATTACTAGGGCAATGAGGTGCTGGGCATGTTGTTATCATTGTCATGATTGATATTAGAACAACAGTCACGACAAAATGCGTGGTATATCACACATTGACCTGACTATAGATGCAGCCATCAATGGTCCTCAAACATAATTGCAATATGGCTCTCATCAGCGTCTGTCATGGACACTTGGAATAAGACTACTTCTTGGCTTGTCAGGTCAGATTTGTGGTGAGGCTTCCTATTTTTCTTTCCTAGAAAATGATGAGGTCTTTGCAGTCTTCAAGATGACTCTTCCTTCTAAGAGTGGCATTCATGTGGTAGATATTTCTACAAGCCCCTTTCCTCCCGTTTTTTATTGTTTTGTTTTTTGCACGTTACTGGCTTCTATATATCAAAGAGCCCTTAGTCCTGAGTTCCCTTGGAGTGAGAGCCCGCATCCTTTTGCTGTTAGTGGAGGAGAGCTTACTCTCCCTGCCTCCTGCCCTCTGCCCAGTCCTTGAGGCATTCCATCTGCATATGTCTGTGAGGAGGCACACGGCCTCTGGGGCTGAACCAGTGGGGTCAAATAATGTTCTCACCATTTAGTATAATTAACTCCAACCACCCGTCTGTTGCAAGGTCTGGTGCAGCCAACACAAGCACGAGGAGGCCAAGAAGAAATTTCTCCTCATTATTAAACCTAAATCTAAGCACTTGTCTGTCTGTAAAAACAGAGCAACCGAGGAAAACTGAAACCAGTGCACGGGGTCTGAGGTTTCAATAAATGTCAGGGAGCGTCAAGTCTGTTTGGATTGCAAATTATTGCTGGCTGACAGTCTTAGTATTTTACAGCTGAAGATTGCTGTCATGGGGGGTAGAAGGGAGTTGGGGGAGAGCCTCTCACATCACAGCCAGAGGGAAACAGAAGTTACCAGATACTATAACAATCATAAAACATTACAAGGGGGGATGTTAGCTTTTGCTAAATTTAGTCTTTCATTAATGCACATCCCGAGAAACAACAGCCCACAATGCTCGGCCCCTCCCCTTGAGTGGATGAGGTGTTAGATTTAGCCATGATTGAGAGCACAATTCTCTGGTTTATCCGTTTTGAACTTTACCCCATACCTCCCCTTTGCCTCGCCACTTGGAACATCTGAGAGCGATAAAGAGGCCTAAATGTTTCAAGGTGAATTAATACCTTACTACATGTCCTAGAGAAACATACACCAATAATTCGAGTAGTGTTAAGGCTGTTTCTCAAATGGATTAAATGAGTGAGCAATTACTGATTAAAACAAATGCCAGGGCCAGGCCAGAGCTCTTCAGCCTGCGTGGGTACACACACAGCTTAGGTTTGTATTGCTGCACACTTCTGAGGTTTAAGAGGATGTGTGGTGTTTGTTTCTGGTGTTTTCACCCAAGTTCACCCACATTTGTGTTCATTTTTATACACACAGAGCATTGTGTACTGATAATCTCCCATGTGTCAAGGACTGTGTTAGGTACCCCGAAAACCAAAAACCATAATCCTAGGTTAAGAGTCAAGTGCCACTATTTTAACCATGATTCTTTTAGTTTCAAACAACTAAAAAGAAAACTTACTTCAAGTTAACTGAAAGCCAAGTAACAGAAATCATTTTAAGGTAGGGTGGAATCAGTTAATTTGAGAGAAGGACAACCAACAGGACTTTACCAAACACTGAGTCATTGGACTTTGTATGCTATGAAAAAACAGAATATTTTCTTAAAATCTCTAGTCACACAGGTTCTCCTTCCGAGTCTCTCTCTCTTTTTTTTTAAGATGGAAGATAAGTTTGTATTTATGTACAGAAAACTTAGCAGTGAGTGAACATTTAACCCAGTTTAGTAGCGAGTTCTTTAGCCTTTGCCTTTTCCAGCTTGGCAATTCGAGCCACAGATTTAGGACCCAGGACATTGCCTCCCCAGTGGCATCGGATCTCATCATATATGTCGTTGAAATTGGTCCTAATAGCTTCCACCAGCTTAGCCAGAGCACCCTTGTCTTCCTAGTTAACCTGTGTGAAGGCAACGGTGGTACATGTTTTCCTGTGGACCAGTCGTCCCAGCCTGGCTTTTCCCTTGATGATGCAGTAGGGGACCCCCATCTTCTGACACAGGGCAGGCAGGAAGACCAGCAGCTCAATAGGGTCTACATGGTGGGCAATCCAGCTCAGTGAGGACTACATCGTGGGCGATTACCGCCAGCTGAGCCCTCTTGTTCTCCACCAAGGTGGTGACTGTATTGACTCCTGCTCGAAGAACAGGTGGCCTCTTAGTTGGGACGTCCCCTTTGCCAGCAGCCTTCTTCTCAGCACGGGCCAACAGTCTTTGCTTTTTCTTCTGCTTTGTCTCTGGCCTGTACTTGTGGGCAAGCTTGAGCAGCTGGGTAGCTGTTTGCCAGTCCAGGGTCTGGGTGAACTGGTTAACGGCAGTAGGAACGTTAAGCCGCTTACAGAGGATGGCCCTTTGCCGCTGCAGCAGAATGTACCGGGGCCATTTGCCGAAGCGTGTGAGGTCTCGTTTGGGCTGGATGTCCTGCCCAATGCCGAAGTTCTTAGGCCTCTTCTCAAACAAAGGGTTCACCACCTTCTTGGCCTCTTGTTTCTTCACGACGGCGGGGGCCGGGGCCACCTTCTTCCCTTGGCTTTCTTTCCCTTGGGCATCTTGCTCAGCTGCAGAAGAGAGAGAGGGAACCCGAGTCTCTTACAGGTGCACTCTATTTATTGCTTTGTCAGCTTTCTAGAATGCCTGGCTCTTTTCTTGGTTATTTCTAAACATAGAGAAACACCTTGTCAAGCAAGTATCCCATTTCTATTACCAGCTGTGGTAAATCCCAACCCGGAATTCATAGAGAGAGAATTGGAGCATTCCAACCTGGGTCAGGTGTGCATTCTCCCTAGATACAGGACTCAGAATCTGGAAAAGGTGGCTTATGTTCAAGCAGGTCATGCCCAAAGCTGTGATACAATGCACAGAATCTGGAAAAGGTGGCTTATGTTCAAGCAGGTCATGCCCAAAGCTGATTGATCAGGTCCCTGTATCAACACATCTGTCTTTTAAAGACCCACTATCTACTTACAGTTTGGGGGATGTTACATAATTGTGGAGTGAGATCTTCCAGGAAGATGGAATTAGCTCCCTAGTTGTGCCTGGGGAAATGTCTAAGAAAAAAAAATAGAAGTGCTAACTGTGGCTTCTGACCCAATGTTGCTGGATTTGTGAGGGCCCTTGATAGCAGACTGGCAGAATCTGATAATATTATTCTCCAGGAAGGGTCTAAGCATCTGCACCAAGAGCATCCAGCTACTGCTGTAGCATTCAAGCTCACAGTGGCCCTTGACATAGAATGGTGTAACAGAATTCTGACAGTGAAATTGAACATTCTATCTCCCTGAACAGGAGCCCTCCTTGTGGTGGACAGTACCATACTCTAAGCAGATGGTCCTGGGTACATAAGGGAGCTAGTTAAGTATGAACTAACAAGAAAGCCAGCAAACTCCTCCATGGTTCGGTCCTGCTTGAGTTCCTACCTTGACACCTAGCAATCATGATTTCTACCTATAAGGCTGAAACAACCCCTCTCCTCTTCTGTGCTGCTTTGGGTAGGGAGCAGAGTGTTTTAATCACAGCACCAGAAACCAAATGGGAAAGCCTCTGAGTAGTGTTAAGGTGAGGACTGAGCACTCAACCCAATGGACTTAGGGGACTCCTTTCAGAAGTGACTCAGAGCAAGATGCAAATGACTGGATGTGGGGCTTTGATCCTCAGTGAGAATGGGGCTTAGTGTCAAGACATGTTGTCATGTTGACTACTGATTATTGGCATTAAACAGATGAAGGCACTGTAGGTAACAGATTGGGTTAGCAAGGCAAATGTTTCTCCAAGACCCAGTCAAAAGATGTCCATGTTCTACTTGTGTTTTGCTGTGATTGACAAGTGATTTCAATATTTCTTTGCTGCTCCCCTCCATGTATGGGAATACACACACACACACACACACACACACACACACACACACACACACTGCATGCACATGTGTGCATACAAGTGTAAGTGTATGTAACGTCCAAAGCATCAAAGCACAGCCTCTCATGTCATTCCTCAGCGAGGCTCACATAGCACTGTTTAAAAAGCCTATGCACCCTCTGAGCACTCATCTAGCAGTCCAAACTAACTGCCCTGGAATCCTCCTTTCTTAATCTCCCCAGAGCTGGGATTAAATGTCTGGGCCAGCACACCTGATTTACCTTCCTGTGGATTCTGAGGATTAAACTGGCTTGTTCCTCATTGATTTGTGGTAAGCACTTTAAATGTTGAGCCATGGCCCCAGATTTATTCCTGAATCCCCCTTTTTCCTTCAGATCTGAGAGTTGGATTCCTCTCCACAATCACACCCGCCCCCTTTCACAGTTATCCTTAGCAATAACCATGGTTTTATAATTTGCCGGGTGGTCACACTTCTGCACAAGAAGTTCCCAGGAGCATGGAAAATCCACTCAGTGCACAGAATGAGGGGACCTGTGGGTTTTCTATGTTCCTAATCAGCATCTTTTTGGAAGCAAACAGGCCAGTCACTCTATCCTGGAGTGTGGCGAATTCTTGAACAGGGAAAGACGAATATCTCCCTATGTCCTCTACAAAATAGTCCTTGCTTGATAAACACTGAAAATAATAATAATAAAATGACAGCGGGAAAGGTGTAGGCTAGAGTGGAAATATATTTACATGCCTTAACATGCAGAGTGGTAAATTTAAAAAGCTATAAATAAGGATTTTGCACCAATAATCTCCCAAGAAGGCCCCACACTTTCCCCCATGGCAAAGAAAAGTTGCCAAGTTTCCCTTGTTCGCTATTCTTGAAAGGGACTCAGTTTTGACCCAGCGGTATGCTACTTTAATGCTTGTGGAATATTGCTTAACATGCCAAACAACCAGAGAGAGAGAGAGCTGATTTACGGTGTGTGTGTGGGGGGGGGAGTCTAAGGCTGGGAGAGCTACCATTCAGGATCTCCAAGTCACCATTTACTCCCCTTATAACCTCCTCCTGTACCTGAATATGCCCAATGTTCACCCACAAAGGAATAAATTATTCCTCTTTCCTGACCTGGAATGATATTGAAGACACCATCAGGGATTTAAAAGTTTTAGCAGAAATATTTTTTTTTTCCTCTCAGGTTCCAGTTCACTGGTTGATAAGAAGACATCACCATAAAACTCAGAAGACAATAAGCAGTCTTCAGTCCCAGCATTCACTGGAGAAGTTTTCCACACCTCCCCATCCCTTACTCTGTAATCGTGGTCTACGATGTCTTCATTTTTAAAAACCTCATAGTCAGTAATCAGCATAGTATCCCATGACCCTGAATTCCAACTCTAGAGAGAATTGATGGTCACAGGAGGCACAGAGAAGGAAGACATGAATATGATGGAGATGCAAAGCCAGCTCAGTAAAGTGCCCACCTTGCAAGCCTGAGGACTCAAGTTCAGATCCCTGCACTTAAAAGCACACATCTAGGACCCCAATACTGGAGTTAAGGAGAAAGGCAGGTTCCATGGGGGTGGTTGGTTGGCCAGGTCAATGAACTCCAAGTTCAGTGAGAGAACCTGTCTGAAAAATAAGTTGGAGAGCAATTAATGAAGATATCCAACATTGATCTCTGACTTCCATGGGCATGTACACACACACACACACACACACACACACACACACACACACACACACACACACACACACACGAGAGAGAGAGAGAGAGAGAGAGAGAGAGAGAGAGAGAGAGGAGTTAAATGAGGAATATTGACCAAATACTATACAGTGGTAAGCAAGACAATTCTTCAACTGGAATGAGGAAAATTGACCAAATACTATACAGTGGTAAGCAAGACAATTCTTCAACTGGAATCTCTTTGCTTCTGACTTCTCCAAGAAGTCTCTAATTTTCTAGAGGGGTAAGTTCAGAAAGCTTAAACAAATTCGTCAGTAGCAAGTTGTTCTTCAACAATGAGTTTAATTGCTTCCTGTTTTTCACCACCTCACTCTGCAAGCACTGTCTGTGCCCTACACTAAGTATCACATTTCACTGCACAATGATATTTAGCCCATGTACAGAAATCCAGATACTTTGACTGACACAATGAAGAAAAGCCACTTGCTTGAGTATTGGGTGGGTTACTTTCCAACCAGTAGCCATTGCATTACGTATACACACCCAGTGTTAGCTGTGCCTTTCAGTTAGTTACCTTCTCAGTATTCACTTCTCCCGAGTAGTTGGTTGCCAGACATAATCAGTCAAGTTCTCAAAGGATGCCAAGAATCTCCATGCATTCAACAATCTTTCAACAAGTCTTTATCAGTCAGAGGTCCTGGCAGCAAAGAGAACTTACTGCAGATGGTACAAATGAAAAGATTTTAATGAAGGGTCTACTTAATGATATGTGGGCAGAGTTACAAGGGGAGGTATGAGGAGCAACAGGAAGTCATTGCACCCTCAGGTTGGAAGGGATGGATGATGGATTTCTTTTATCAGAGCCCCAGAAAAGGAGGGTAACTGGCCAGAGAGCTGGCTGTGGAGGAATACAACTATTGTTAAAGATGAGGGTCTGAAGTCGTGCTGGGATGGGGAAAAAAGAGCACAGCCCTTGTCTCCTGTTTATAGTCACCCTCTTCACATTGCATTTCTTTGGCTGCAATCATAGAGAATCCAGACACTTGGAGCACTGGAGTCTAAGCTTCAGGCCACAGCAAGGCAGAGAAGAATGGAAAATGGATCTGGGGTGATGTCAGGATAAAGTCTTCTATATGAAAAGAGCTTGACAAGCTCCTAGCCTCAGTCTGAACATTGGAGACGGAAAGCAGTGGGCACAACAGACACAGATTCTCTCTCCATGGAGCTCACACTTCAGTGCAATATGGTAGCCAAAAATTGAGAGGGCTGACAAGGTCTGATGTGACAGTGCCATAGAAATAAGCACTACAGGGAAAACTGTGGAACTGTGGAACCCATGAAGGGAGAGTTTAATGGATGCTAGAGGCACTTACCTTCTCTGCGAAAGGATGGGCACCTAGAATGCCACACTGTTGTAAAGACCCTAATGAAAAGGGAAGAAGAAACTATGCCGAGGAAGGAATGTGGTCAACAAGGAGCAGAAATGGGGAGGAAGTCAGGTCTGTTTTTCCCAAAGTTTTTTTTTTCTCTGTCTCATGGATCCTCTTTTGTCTTTGAGCTTTGACCAGGTATCACAGAGAAATAAAATGTGGAGAGTAGGATGTCAAAGGTTGAAGACAGAGAGCCACCCACTGAGCACATGGAGGCTGGCTATCTCTGCTAGGCCAGCTAATGTGTGGCCTTTCAGCTTGAGATTTGTCCTTGTGGGGTGCTGTATACTCCTGTGAGAGTCAACACTGAGAGTGTGTGATGTGGGAATTGATGTGTAAGCTATTGTCCAAGGCGAGTGGGCTGGTTCTCTCCATTTCCCAGCTGGCACTATGACCAGAAAAGCAATGTCCTACTTTTCCTGGACCCTAGACCCTTCATGTCTTCTCATCATCTCTTCCTAAAATACAGTGTTGCATATGTGCAAGGCCTTTTCTTGATTGACCACTATTATTTTTACTGAGATCACTCTCTCCTCTCTCTTTCTGAACTTCTCTCTATCTATCCCCTGAACTTCTCTCTCTCTCTCTCTCTCTCTCTCTCTCTCTCTCTCTCTCGCATATCCAGAGATGCACATGTGTGTGGGGTCCACACCCCTCCACACACACACACCCATATACACACTCCTTTTCTCTAAAAATGTCCTGATTAACAATGTCTTCTCTGTCAGACTCTATTTCAACTATGACAAGTTTTTTGACTAAACCCTGGAACTCTCCTCTAGAACATTCTGCCATTGGGTTCAAATGCATGCTGAAGAACCTACATGTGATGTTTACTTAGGGCTTATCATTGAAAAGACCATCAGTTCCATATGGTCAAAGCCAAAGAACATTATTTTGAATTCCTTCTTATTTTTGATTAATGAGAGAGAGAGAGAGAGAGAGAGAGAGAGAGAGAGAGAGAGAGAGAGAGAGAGAGAGAGAGAGAGAGAGAGAGAGAGAGAGAGAGACAGAGACAGAGACAGAGACAGAGACAGACAGACAGACAGACAGAGACAGAGAGAAGAGAAGTCATTATATAGGGCTTATCAACCCAAATAAGTCTGCAGCGTTGGTTTCCCCAGCATCTCAGAATTCAGAGGATAAGCCATAAGCCATTACTGAGTCCTAGATAGTAATATGAACCTAGATTTAGGGTTTTGTGTGATCAAATGTGAAGAGAACTGATGTTTTGAACAGGGTGACTTGTGGACTTCCAGGCAGTCACAGAATGCCCCAGTTTCCCTGTGATCCAGAGGCCTTGCCTGACCTGTCCTCTGGGAGGTCCTTGTGATTGTACCTTATCTATATCTGAGCATCATAAAGATGAGTAGTTAAGTGTGCTTAATAAACCCCAGCTGGGTGTTTTCTTGGTGAGTCAACACACCGTTTTTTCTACTGTTTGTTCATATGGGAATGATGAATAGGACTCACAATTCGTATTTTCATTGTAAGTAGAAAACTAGAAATAATATCAACATATGATACTTGAGGATCTTATAAAGTGTTTTAGAGACACCCTGAAAGTTTCAAATAATTATAGCCCCAGTAAAAATTTTATGGCTGCCTGTGGATTTCCATGATCAAAGCAAAAGTAAACAGAACACTTTTAGGCTAAAGACACTCAAGACCCTACCGTTTATTTTTTGTTGTTGGCTTTCTTAAGAGAGTGATTAATAGTTTCACAATGTGAAATCACCCACATTTGGGATTAAGTAATTGAATGAAATTAATTCCTGAATCCATTCTTCATGCACCTCAGGCATGATGCATAGTAGACTGTCTTGGTGATTAAAGTTACCATGATCTAAACACAAGAAAAGTTCTTCAAAGCCCACCCAGTTTCTAATTGTTCTATGCCTTTCCCTGTAGGTCATCCCAATGCTTTTCATTTAGTTACATTACTAAATAAAAGCACATTAGTACTAGCATTGCCACTTGGAAAGAGATTACATTTTAGTGTGGCTGGTATTAATAGCTTGACCTTAAAAGTTGTCCTTTGGTCTTACAACAGACATCATCAATTGACAAAGTATCATGGGATAGAAAATATCAGGTGTGTATGAGCAGAGAAGGAAATTCATGACTTATTTTCAAGTAAGAAATATGAAATTAGTCAAATAGACATGGATTTACTTATATATGAATATGCATTTGTGTATGGCTGTGTGCTGGTCCACACAGATATATATCTTAGAATATGCAAACACATGAACAAAGACACAGGTACAGGATGCATAATATATATGGAATTAAAATAACAAGTATATATACCCTCACACCTGTACCTCCCCCAACACTGATTTTTCTTCTTATTAGACTGATAAGCCTAGTAGCATTTCTGGGTCATATGGCAGTTGTAGTTTTCATATCTCATGTTTCATATTATGAATATCCATAATGTTTTGAAAAATGTCTATCATGCTGTTTGCCTGTTTTTACATGTAGTTATTTTCATTTTGCTTTAAAATGGTTTACATTTCTTATATTTTCCCATATGATCCATTACTCTAAAACTGTGAGCCAAAATAATTTTTTCCTAAATTTTTTTTCAGGCATTTATGCCTCAGCAACACAAAACTAAGACAGTAATGATTCTAAGCTTTCTCGTACTCTGCAGTAGTTAAATAGCTAAACTTTTCCCTCGCTTGGCCCCAGCCATCATTATCTCCTACCCAGATTACTATAATTGCTCCTGAGAAGTTTCTCTGACTCATTATGTTTTCAAGTGTATGGTTCCTAAACACTATTTAAAACAGCAGCCCCACGATCTCCAATCCCACTCCTGTCTGTCAGTCTCTGCAGAATTACATACCATAGTGTTAAATGCATTTTATTTTGCTTTCTCTGAATTTACGTCTCTCCTAGCTTAGACTATAAACTTAAACAGAAAATTTTGTTTAATTTCTTCTGGTTTTGACCCTTCTATCTACAATCTAGCATAGTACCCTGTAGCATGAATAATAAAAGCCCAGAGACAAATATTGGGGTTCAAGTTGAAGATCAGAAAAGCAAAACATCCAAGCTACCAGAGAACTCTTACCTCTACCAAGGCTGGGGAAAACCTGTCCCCAACACATTATAAATGCATACTTTAGGAATTTTTGTAAGAAATACTGGAAGCATTTCTATAATCCTCACCAAGTCTTCTTAGTGATAGACAATACATATTTAACATTAAATACAAAAGCTCATTAGAATAGCATTATACTGC